GTTCCCAAGCAGATATTTCTGCAGAGACAGAAATTTCGCAGCCATGGTAGCTCAATGATCAAATCCATTTCCAATCAGCTCAATGGAAAACATCTGTTTTTTCAAATTCTTGCTTTTATTTAATTAACAGAAGTTGTCTAATGCCTGCTCTCCTCCACACACTCTCTTTTCTTGCATTGCCATTAAAATCACAGATCACACACTCCTTAGGACAGGGAGTGGGGCACCTGTGTGTGATGCACAAGAAACAACATGGGGGGGCTAGACAGAAAAAACAGTAACTGAGTTCTTATACTTACATAAACCCGTAAACAGATGGGATAAAATCCCAGGAGTTGAGGAGGAAGAAGGAAAGGCAGATGATCACCACCAGGCTGCACAGGTACAGGGCTGCATACTGCATGGTGTAGAGCCAGAAGCTTTTGCTTTTCAGTTTTACTGGTATGAACTGACGCTGAAAATTAAAAACAGGCAGGCAGAGATCCCTCATCAGGTGGAAAGCCATGAGAAAGCCTGAGTGTTCAGAACATAATTTTAAATCCATGAAAGAAAGCGTCAAACTGGCACTGTGGCACTGGAAGGACCAGCTCTCAAGCACAATTTACTTCATGTTCTTCACTCTAGCCAGTTAAGTCATACACATTGCACATATTTCCAGACTGTGCTTGAAACTACAGCAGCTGAGCTGGTCATTTCTGCTTGTAGTGACTCAAGTGTCAAGAACTCAATTTGAGATTTACACACACTTCCTCCCAGCTACACTTGTCCCTCGTGTGTTTGTGATACTGTACCACTGCCTGCCTTCTACTGCATCAACCCACATCAACCGCCTGACTGAGAGCCCTGCTCCATGACCCACCACCCTGCAATGCCAGGTCCCCACCACATGGACTGGCACTCATGCTCTGCTGAAATCAGGCAAAGAGGACATCCAGTGGGTTCCTAAGCACAAAGGAGCCCCTTTAAATTGTTGCCTCCTTAGACAACACGTGTTGTCCTGACAGGTCAACCACAAGCCCTTGTCGCATAACACGACATATGGGTATCTCACTCCAGGAGGTCCCCTGACTGCATTTGTAAAGATAAATATACACACGGGGTAAGCACCTTTGGGAATTGCTGAGTTCTCACTACAGGAAAAATGTTGAGGTGCTGGAGCATGTCCAGAGAAGGGCAACAAAGGTGGTGAAGAGCCTGGACAACAAGTCTTAGGAGGAGTGACTGAAGGAGCTGGGGTTGCTTAGCCTGGAGAAAAGGAGGCTGAGGGGAGACCTTCTCTACAACTCCCTGAAAGGATGTAGAGAGGTGGGGGTTGGTCTCTTCTCCCAGGTAACAAGTGATAGAACGAGAGGAAATGGCATCAAGTTGTGCCAAGGGAGGTTTAGATTGGATGTGAGGAAGAATTTCTTCACCGAAAGGATAGTCAAGCACTGAAACAGGCTGCCCAGGGAGGTGGTGGAGTCACCTTCCCTGGTGGGATTTAAAAGATGGGCATACAAGATGCTGAGGGACATGGGTTAGAGGTGGAACTGGTAGTGTTGGGTTTATGGTTGGACTTGATGATCTTAAAGGTCTTTTCCAACCACTACAATTCTACGATTCTATGAGTTCTGCAGCTCTAAGTCAGTGATGGAGCTTTTCCATTCAGTATGAGGGTTTACACTGGCAGATGTACAGAGTGCCAGCTCTAACTGATGTGGCTGTGAAAAGCATGCTGTTTTCTCAGTCATCGTGTATTTAATGCCACTTGCTGGAACAATGTAAGCAAGCTGACCATGGATTTTTGGCAGGACAGATTGGAAAGTGCTGGAGAGAAGCTATTTAATTCTGTACAAATCTGGATAAAAGAACACACACTAGCATGATCCCCTTTAAAAGTTTCAAATTATGCATTTGCATATCAAAGCAGTTGTTGTTGCTTGTGAACACAATGCTTGTGCTTTACTGCCAATTTACTTTGACCACAGTTAAAAGAGAACAAATGAAACCAAAATATAAAATATATACAGTAAATGCTCCTAAAAATTATCAAACTAAAAAAGCAACACTGACTCTGCAGGATTTCTTGTTTGGCAAAGAGTAATAATCATAAAATTTCTGAAAAAAACTTAAGTGACATTCATGTCAGATAGTCGGGGAAAGAAAATGGACTAGAACTGACTCTCCATTCTCTTCTGAAGCTCAGAGATTTGAGAATAGGCTGTGATGAACCTGTAGTTTAGATTAGCTATAAAAATCATGAGGAAGACAGGACAGAAGCAGCCAAGACAGAGTGGTGAAATATTCAACAGCAGGACTTTCAGACTGGTAAAAATAATAAAAATAATCACCAAGTGACCTGTGAATCGGAATAAGGGCCCTCTGCTAACAGTCACAGCCTCACCTTGCTGCCACATCAGAGTAAGACTAGCAAATGATCAGTTTTCATTAAGTGCATTATAATTTGGACTCTCAGTTAAGTCATTGTTTAGAGTATCAGCACAAGAGCTAAGAGACCAGCAGGAAGCATGCAGGCAAACCAGTGGTGAAACCCCTGCCCGCAGATGTGCCCACCAGCCCACTGCTGGGCTAGTTTTGCCTGGAGCAGTGTCCTGGGTATCCATGAATGACCAAGGTCAGCCCTGCTGGATTTCAGAGGGAGGGAGAAAGGACAAGGGCAACCAGCCACTTGCACAAGCACGTGCCTTTTGCTATTGAACTCCAAATCCCCATTTCCGAGTTTGAGAGATTCAAACATCCAGCACCTCATTCTAACACAGCTCAGTGATCCATGTCAGTGCAAAGGAAATTCTCCAGGTCTAAAATCCTCATTGATATTCTCATGAACAAAGAAGAGCACTTATTCTGGGGAAGATAAATTTCTGTAGATGACTTTCTGCTCCCTTCTCTCTATGCATAGACATCCCCATTAAGGCTTCAAACTTCCCATGTCTTGAGGAGAGTGTCTTTTTCTGAAACTCAGGACCTGCCTGACTCCCCTCTCAATAGCTAAGGACTGTCTCAGCACAGCTACAAGAAGATGACAGGTAACAACAGTTAGAAATCATCTACCTGTAGAAGGTAAAGGAGCGCTGGAGCAAACAATGTGAGAGGGTAGAGTGACTGGTATGTTGCTAAGGCCAGGAACACAGCACTGAGGAAGGCACTACCTGCAAAGAAAAAGAGTAAGTTCATTTGTAAGGAACATTTAATATAAACAGCCCACCTGGACTTTCTGTCTGTATGGAAGAAATGCAGAAAGCTCTGCAGGGGATTTACAAATACCAGAACACCACTTAAAGGTGTTCTTAGCAGAATCTGTCCTGGAGTGTCCTTTTCTTAACTACATTTTGAACAGGGAATGACTCATACCAAGGTGATTCTCCCACAAGAAAAAAATGCTGACTGGTTCATATCTCCTGTCATTCACATACAGAAAGAGATTCGTGTCTATTTATAGATCATGCTGGCTGCTGTTTATGCAAGGGAATACATTCACTTCAGTCATATCCACATGAAAGAGCTGTTATACTGGGCATGCTGGATAACCTTGTCACCAGAACGTGTCAGGGCCCTCAGCAAAGCTCTGTGAAAGACAGCAAGCAAAAGTCTGCAGTTGAAGGAATGAAGTGGCATTAGCCCTACTTGACAGATACCAAAACTGAGGCACAGAAAGGATTAGCACAGCTTTTCCAAGTGGTCTTAAAAATATAAATGCCTTTATTGAGGAAGCTTTATTGGAGGTGTCTCAGGTTGAGCTAAGTGCTGAGTATTCACATTGCCCAGCTACCAACACCAGAAATCAAGTCCAAAAGGTCCCAGGTTAAAGAATAAAAAAACAAGCACCCAGTGCAGTAGCCTGGTTATAGCTTTCAGTCTTATGTCACTTGATGGAAGTCATCTGTGAAAATACAGCTTAGACAGCAAGAATCCTGACAGTGCACTGGACTAATTGTCAGGTTAATGACACCAAATGCTTGGTGAGCTTCTCGCTGTTTCCACCTTTTGAAAGAAAAAATATAAGGTTACCTGGTGAAGAGCTTTCTTCATTCAACTACACTGTCCTAGACAGAAACCTCTCTGTCCTCTATTTTATGGAGTGTTCAATTCTGCACAGATCTAAAGAATTGGTACCCAGAAATCACAGTCATACTCTGATCTCCAATCTTTGCCCACTTTAAAACCAAGAGGCTGCCACACTCCCAATCAGGGAGAAAACACGGCGGCAGCCACTACAGCTTTGTCTATGTTTGAATTATTCGTCAGTTAAAAATCAGTTTAACTAAACATACCCCACTCATTTACTTTTGCAAATGCTTTTAAATCAAAAACCCTTCTGCATCAATTAGTAGATAACTGGAGGAAAACTTTCATTTGGAAACACTAATAAAACAAATCTACCAGCTTTCTTCACAACGTCTGGGTCTGGGCACTGCTGGAGGTGAGAGATCAGACTGACCAGCACAGAACTCCGTTAGGAGTATGTACGTGACTCGTACAAATCACATAGGCTAAAAGACACTGGGAAGTCATCAAAGACACAGAGACCTGGCATTATGCACAAAATGAATGAAACAGCTATTCTACCACCATCTATTCAACTGTGCCTCTAATGGGTCTTTGTTACTGTTTCTGCTTCCCCAAATTAGCTAATTGCAAACCAAGGTTGCAAGTGTGAGCGAAAGCCAGATAACAGCTGCAGGCAACTCCTTGCTTTTGAATAAAAGTTCAAAGACACGCTTTGCAAACAACGCTTTAAGTGCATATTCACATACAAAAGAAAGAGCAGCAGAGCATTACGTCCTCCTACACACAGACACACATTTCTTCATAAACAGAAAACTATTCAAAGTCATCCAGGAAAAGGAGCTGGTTTTTAGGGATTAAACTCCTAGGTACACTGAGATCAAACTAAGTTTTGACTTTACTATCTCCTGTGATTTCAGGTAGAACTCTGACCTCGCTCCTGTCCTCGTTTCTGATGTGTTTCACTGAGATCTTTTAGAAATCATATTTGTAAAGTTCCACCTCAGTGTAATTCCTGCTAATTTTCTAGCCTTTATAGAAAGACATAACAAACCATTTTTAGTTCATTGTGTTACCTTTTATTGTGGCTAAAATGAAGAATGCGATGACAGTATTGTTGATGGCACAGGTGGACTTTGCCACACAAGACATCACAGTGTAGGGGTTTAACAGATAGCTGAAAAAAAGCAAAGCTTGAGTTACATTCAAAGGAGAGAGCATTTAATTAAAGAGATGTTCAAAGGGAAAACAGATGCAATTTGGCATTTCTTCTTGTTTCTTTATATTTGATGGGATCCTCTCATCATCAAATTAATTCAGCTGAACAGGTGCTTTAGTCTGGAGCAAAAACCAGATCCTTGGATAGTAGCCTGGGACACAGTGGCCACAGGGAGAAAAGGGGACAGGTGGGAAGAGAAACTGAAACACAAATTCTACCCTAGAAAATAACTACATAAAAAGTTCCTTGCTTTGCAGAAACATTGTGCATTTATTCAGTCACACCTAGAAATATGGGGTCCAAAGTAAACTCTTTCTGCAACTCACATCTACTGGCTCTGAGAAAGTAATAAAAAGAAGAAGATAGCAAGATGGAAACAAATCCAGAGACATCAGCAGAGTCTCCTCCAACCCAACTGACCCTGCACACTCCTGCTACGGCAGAGCAATCATTTATGTTCACAACTACATGATCTGAGCACAAAGCCCGACAGCTGCGAAAAACTGGCATATTTTAATTGGAATCATGGAAACACAGCAAACTCTGAACACCTTTACCTTCGAGAATGCAGCTACACTTTAGTTAGTAAGGATGCCATCTGCTTTTGGAAATGAGAATTACAATAACCTCAAAAGCACAGAAAAATGTTTTGAAGAATTACCAATAAAATAAGCAAGATAATGTATTGATCAGCCTCGCTAATAACTAAATCAATCATCAGAGTGAGTCGACAGGGTTGATGATTTTCTAATTATCTCTTTACATAAACATTTTTCCTACTTCTCCAAGTCCCAATATGTATTTTTTATTTCCACAGAGACAGCCTACAGACAGACAGGTACGACTTAATACCAACTTTGCTGCGGTAACGCACAACAATGTTAAATACAAAACAGTCTGCACTTTACAGACTCTACCTTTCTTTCCCTGGGGCATTTACCATTTCACAAAATTCACATAAAAATAAGAAAAAGTAACAACTTATCTAATGGAAAACTCTCTCCTGACACAGAACAATGACGATAATAATTTATTCATTTCAAAACCCCAATAAAAATAATTCTTTGACATTAAGTACCCTGCTTGTATATTATTTATTTTAGTTGAAGCTTTCTGAAATTAAAAAAATGTTTTGTATACAGAGGAACACCGAGACGTGACATTATTAAGACGACAACCTGAAAATATCTTTGCATTATAAGCAATTCTGGGATATTCAAGTTGTGATATCAGCAAACATTTTGTTTGACTCCTAAAAAATTCTCCTAACTTTTCTGAAAAGACACCTGAGACATTTGAGAGGCATAAAATCAGTTTTGATTACATTAGTATACAGGCAAAATAAATGGGAATGTGATCTGTGGCAGACACAAAATTCTTGCTACCAAATGAATGACCTTATGCTGCTGAGCTTGTCTGAGAGGGTCTGAGTGAGTTTACTTGTTGGCAACAAACATTTGGAAAAGCATCTGCTTTTCACTTTCAAACTGAGTATTCAGGGCTGGGGGGAATTTTTATGTTTAATAGGAAATTCAGAATTTCTGGGGGTGAAAAAAAAAGTCTTCCACAAATGCTGAAGCCCCAGATCAGACAAATAAAACCCAAAGGGAGCTGAGGAACCAAAGCAGCCTACTGCAGCCTCCAAGAAGCAATACTTACAACAGTGCTACCTTGAGGGGGATGTAGTGCATTTCCATGGGCGTCCGGATGAGTTCAGCCACATCGGGTGCATATTTATCCAGTTCTATGAGGAGCTTTTGCTTTTTGAACTGAACAAGGAAGAATGACCAAAGCCTGTCAGAAAGTCATTATTTCTTACTACTCAGGATTTCCATTGCTGTGGAACATACATGAGCCCCAGGTGTGAGCCAAAACTCATGTTATGTGAGGTGTTGCACAAACAGAACAAAAACCCACTCTCTTTTCCCAAATAGTTAACAACTGAAGCAGAAGTCAGGAGAAAGTAGATAATTTCTACTTATTTGAACTTCCTTAATTCCCTGTGTCTAGCTCTTGACACAGCTGACAGTGAATTCACCACACTAGAGTTCAATACTTTCAATCTTCCTAAAGCCTGTCTGGATCTCCAATGAAAAGTTGACTTTATAAATTCACTGTTCAACATACAAGCCCCTGAGAAACCAAGTCACAGAAGTATGCGGTCTTTGTTATTTTGAAGGTGGATACCTCTCTGGGAAATCTCCTTTAGGGACTCCAAATCTCTCTCTCTAATCTATCTTGTTCTATGATGCTTTCTAGGGAGACAAAAGAGAAATCTGAATTTTGAACCTACTGAACTATGTCATGGTGAGACAGAAGGAGAGAGATGCTGGCAATAAATTCTCAATGAGCAAAGTAGCTTGCACACAGGATTTTTACACATCTGCAGTTTTATCATAGTTATTTCTTCAACCTCTAAGTCAGAGGACAAGGAACAAGCATGTAGCTGGATGGGAGACCTCACAGATGCTGTAGAAAATGCAGCCTCCCTGTTCACGTTGATACTGAATCACTGTCCCTCTTGGACTGCAGAGAGCACAGCACTGCTTACACAAAATGTTCTTTGAGCTACTTAGGAGAGAGCTGGGAGGAGTCACTCACCTCCAAATACATGTACTTATAATTTGAAGGTAACAAGTAGTTTAGTGTCAGACTTTCACCTTGCTCACTAGAATGATTTATGCCACCTCAGCATCCTTGGAAGGTTTCATTCCTTCCTTTACACTTTACACATTTCCTTCCTTTACACATTCCTTCCTTTCCAGTCTGTGTATTAACTCATGCTGTGTGTGCAAACACAAATCCAGTTCAAGGTAAAACATTCCAGTCTCAAGCTACAAAATACACAGAAGACTGTAGCAGGAGGAGAGATGAGAAAAGGGAGTGCTTAAGTCTTTCCAAATCCATATCCAGTAATTATATTCTGCATACAGCAAACTGCCACAACAACTGAAGGTGGGTTTTCAGTACATGTTCTAAAATCTTGCATCTCCTCTCGTGTACTGTGACCCTAGACTTTACCTGCATTTCACTGGCTATTGCATTCTCACAAATATGTCAAATTCTTTATACTCCTTTCAGATCAAAGAATTTACACTGCTGTGATCATCATTCAAGTGCAATGTGGCACCTACAGACACTAATTTGTTTCATACTGTAATACTGCCACAATAACACTCAAAATACCTCCACTGTTTACCACACTCAGTCCCCATGTTTATTGATCATCCAGGTATGATCAGATTTACTGCAACAAGGACTGGTTGATACTGCATCCTCTGGCATGTGTTTTCTTTGGTATAAGATAATTATACTAGCTAGGAGAAGAGGGTCAAGCAACACTGGCAAGTCAGCTTACCACAACTTTGTTGAAGTCCTGAATGGCCAAGTAAAGGGCAACAGCAGTTAGCACATCAGTTATCTAAAAAAGCAAAGCATAGACAGACTGTAAGCAAAATAAACAAATGGAGAAAAAGATATCGGACAGTACTGCGACGCTGAATAAGGACTCTGAGCTGACCCAGCTCAACGGGGAGAAAAAACAAGCTTTAAAAACATGAGATGGCTGATTTGTACACTGTGCTCACACACTGCTTAACCTTGAAGTCACGAGCTGTATCAAAGATATTAATATTTACAAAACAAGAGAATGCGGAGTTAAGGGGAAAGAAACTGTTTGTGGAAAGAAGTACACAAGGGAGAATCGCTGGTTTCATTAGAGCACAAGCAACACTGGAGCAGTGCCCAGCTGCCTAAATCCACCTGTCCACTAATCCAGTGTGACAGTGCCTTGAGCTGTCCCAAACTCACCAGGCAGCAGCACCGTCACCTGCACCACCAGCACAAGCACACGCAGATGGCTGTGAGCTCTGATGAGACCTGCCAAGAAGGGACCTGGGGAAAGAGGCTGCACCAGGTGGCACATGCAGCCAGCTACATGATTTATGTCCTTTTGAATTAAGCAGAACTCAGAGAATAGTTTAGAAGAGACATTTGGAGAACTAACCCAATTGTGCTCTTTGCAGGCCCAGGGTTTGGCAGTGGGTTTTAATGAGAAACACTGAGGTGTAGGGGCCAGGCTGGTGGGACAAGATATTCTGACCTGTAAGAGGTAACCTTTGAAATCCAGAGAAGGGAAACGCAGTGGGGGAAGGGTCTGGAGCACAAGTGTGCTGAGTTCCCGGCTGAGGGAACTGGGGTTGTTGAGCCTGGAGAAAAGGAGGCTGAGGGGAGACCTTCTGGCTCTGTCCAAGTCCCTGAAAGGAGGGTGGAGAGAGGTGGGGGTGGGTCTGTTCAACCAAGGACCAAGGGACAGGACAAGAGGAAATGGCCTCCAGTTGCACCAAGGGCAGTTGAGATTGGATGTGAGGAAGAATTTCTTTGCTGAAAGGGTTCTGAGGCATTGGAAGGGGTTGCCCAGGGCAGTGGTGGAGTCCCCATCCCTGGAGGGATTGAAGAGTCGTGTAGACATAGTGCTGAGGGACATGGGTTAGTCGGGGACTTATCAGTGTTGGGTTCATGATTGGACTCGATGATCTGGAAGGGCTTTTCCAGTCCAGGCAATTCTGGGATTCAGTGAAACATGAAACCAAATGCCCATTTCCCATCCCTCTGTGGGGACACTAATCTAACCAAGAACTCATAAAAAAGAAGGAATATGTGCAACAAGGGAAAAGCCCAAATGTGGGTTTGTACTGGCAAATCCGCCTTTCTAATTAAACTGTGAGCTCACCAGGAATCTGAACTACAGGGAGGCTGAAGGTTCTTATTCTTGCAGGAGGAAAAGGAACATCACACTCAGCATTTCACAGAATAGGGCCTTTTAAGAGGAGCTTTCCAGAAGCACTTACCATGAACACCAATTCAGCGTATTCAATCAGGAAGTGAAATAGATATATTATCAATGGGGTCTAAAAGAGAGCAGAAGGGAAAGCCATGTCAAATCCTGTCCATGTAAATCAACCGGTGATTTGATGAGGAAAATAGAGTAGTGCTACGAGAGACTACAAAGGCAATTTTCCTTAGCCTCTTCCACAATGCTGTTATTTCAGAGTAAAGTCATTAATCAAAGCACACTTACAGGTCTCTTTCCTTGCAAAGTTCTCAATACACTTTATAAAAGACACCATCTACTTCGAAAACTATATTCTGTTCCTGCTTCTCAATTCTACTAGTATAGTGGTAGAGTTAAAACAGAAAGCATACAAAGAACAGTTTTAGAAAACAATTTTTTCTAGACAATCTATTTTTTCAGGTTGTTTGCAGGTACTTTTGAAAGTATTTCCTACATAGCTCGTTTCACTGTTTAGCCTGTTGTTTAGATGAGTCTTTTATAAAGCAAAAAATGTCTGTCATCTGCACAGCAATGAGTTATTCTGTGAGGAACTGCACTTCCTCATTGTGAGAGTCACTACATGCACCTATTGTACGGACAACTACAAGATTCCCAAGTTCTCTGAAGTCTTTGGGACAACACAGGTCCCCAGCCTTTGCCAGTTCGTGAGCAGTAAGAAACATGTCACTTGAATATCACGTTTAAAATGAAGCACGCATACTGACCTCATGAAAAATAGCTCCAGAATACGGTGAGACCCCTAAATCCAGCAGAGCTAATCCTTCGACCACTGCAACATACAAAACACCTGCATTAGAGTCTTGTAATGTGGGAAGAGAAAAATCTCATGATGGTAAAACTATAGTTTTTAAAACACCCAAGCTCGTAAGAATCTCACATTGAACTGACATCTGAACGGGGGACACAAAACTTGCAGAGCCAACAACCAGTTAGAATTGATTGCTTTCTTACTTCTGCCGTGCAAATTTATTTAGTAACTGAATGGTCACTTGCAATCTATTTATTTGTTTCAGCTAAAAACGTTATAGCTGAAATATTTTGCACTTAACTATATATAAATCATGTATATCATATTAATTGATTTTAAGTCCCCTATTATGTGATACATGGTATCTGTGCTGGAGAAATACTAATTCTAAGAGAACAAATCACAACATAATAAATAGACAATTTGAATTATTTTGCCTAATCAGATATAGAGAGACCTGAAACATCCAAAACCACAATAAAAGAGCAGAAATGAATGCATATTAGCAGGCAAAGCTAAAAGCTTTATCTGTTCTTTAAACCTCCTGACATTTTGCAGCCTTAATTGAGATCCTTTGCAATCATGCAGCTACAGCTTGCACTGCAGTGTATGCACATCCATGGGACCTCCACCCTACTTGAGCACAAAGCTCTGCTTCAGCAGAGCATGCAGTGAAAGAAGCGATGGGAAAAGGGTCTGTTTGTTCAGAGGGAAATGAGGCAGGAGACTGTGGGAAGCAACAAGAGATTCTCAGTTCTGGAGAAGTTGATTCTGTCTCTGCCACGAAGTTCCTGTGTGATGACAGCTCAGACTTTTCAAGGTGATGCTAATTGTGCTCCTTACTCTCTAGGAGCATCCCTTGGCATTCCAAGGTAAGATTTAGAAAATATCTGTTGCTGCAAGAGAATTTTTGGGAGCTGTATTTTGAAACTATGAAGTGTGAAGTGCTACACACTGTGGAGCAAAAGGCCTTAGGTCATCAAAGGTTGTTGAGCATGGAGAAAAGGAGGCTGAGGGGAGACCTTCTCGCTCTCTACAACTCCCTGAGAGGAGGGTGTAGAGAGGTGGGGGTGGGTCTCTTCTCCCAGGTAACAAGTGATAGAACGAGAGGAAATGGCATCAAGTTGGGCCAAGGGAGGTTTAGATTGGATTTGATCAAGAATTTCTTCACCGAAAGGATAGTCAAGCACTGAAACAGGCTGCCCAGGGAGGTGGTGGAGTCACCTTCCCTGGTGGGATTTAAAAGACGGGCATACGAGGTGCTGAGGGACATGGGTTAGAGGTGGAACTGGTAGTGTTGGGTTTATGGTTGGACTTGATGATCTTAAAGGTCTTTTCCAACCACTAGGATTCTGTGATTCCGTGAAATGCATTCATGCTTTTGACCTTTATTACTCTGTGCCAGTTTTCCACCCCAAAACTGCAAACAGTTTTACCTGCAAAATAACTGGATATTGTTTTCCAAAAGGACTGTCCTTAAAATAGATTAAGGCTCCTCACATGCTCAGATGCTATAGAGATGAATGCCACCAACAAGCCTTGACTAAACGGTACCTCAGTCTTCCGAAGATAATTTGAATCATGTTGGTAACAACGTGTGTGGCCACAAACTAAGCAAGGAGAAGGAAACAGTGCGTAGCTCTGCGAACAGGGAGCCCCGCAGCAGCGGTCACTGCACGGGTCAGTGATGAGAGCGATTCCATCACGGTGCTGAAACTACATCTTCGGTGCCAGATTCTGCCATTTCTCCATTTCACGTACATCTGCGGCACAGCCAGGTCGTGCAAGTGCCACTCAGCCAGCTACACACACCGGCTGAGTCCCGTCCTCCCGCCGTCGGTCCCGTGTCCCTCCCGGCCCCTGGCCGCTGCCGAACACTCGCTCTTCCCTCGGGGACACCTG